AAATAAAGTCAAGACGGCATCACATCACATGTAACGTTCGATCCCACCATCAAAACGTGCGTCTGTGGGATCTAACGGCAGTGATTTATCGTCGACCGCAACTCCCCACGTGACTACTGTGTGGGCTTCCACAATCGATCTCTCGAATATCTGAAATCCTCGAGCCCTAATTTCTACTTCCTTCGTTTCCGATAGAGCTGGGAATATGAGTGATCACCCGCGGGTCCCGCCCCGTTTGACCCGCTGCGGGGCGGGTGCGGGTTGAACAATTTGAAAAAATCGATTGGCGGGTGCGGGTGCGGGTTTTGAGTATTTTAAGCGGGGCGGGTGCGGGTTGGTGAATTTTTAATCGCGGGTACCCGCCAACCCGCAAAAAAATTTTTTTTTCATNATTAAATAAGTATTTTTTAAAAAAAGATATATAACCCGCGGGTTCCGCGGGTTACCCGCAAAATTAAGCGGGGCGGGTGCGGGTGAAAATTTATACGGTCGCGGGTTGTGCGGGTCGGATTTTTTAACAAAAAAAATAACTAAAATCCGCGGGTTGGCGGGTCAGCGGGGCGGGTTTGACCCGCAACCCAGCCCTAGTTTCCGATCTTCACCCACGGAGATTGTTTCCTTTGGGATCTGTGAGGTTCTTTTTTTCTACGCTTTGAATGTCTTCAATTTGCTCATGACTCTGTGATCGCTTATGATTCCGGTTCTGTAATCTGATTTCGAACGCTTGACTTTTGATTCTATGGATTCGATCGGGTTTAGCTTAGCTTAAGCATCTGTTAATCGCTCATTGATGTGGTGATCTTCTTGTTTTAGTTACTTTGATCAAATGTGTGCATCTTCTTGGGGTTAGGCATTACAGTTGTCTTGTTAACAATGATATGATGATTAAGAACAAACAACCTGAAACTTTTTTTGTTTCTTCTTTACATTTTAGCTTGATTTTGATGTAAGGTTCCTATTATTGTGTTATGATTTATAAATTATCTTGCTCAAATGTATCTTAGAACAATGATATGATGATTTAGGGTAACTAATCTGTAACATTTAAGCATAATCAGTTTTTTTTTTTTGTTTTCTCTCTACATTTTAGGTTGATTTTGATTGATTCTGTTAGATTTAAAATTATATTACTCAAGTGTATTTTTGACTATGATGAATGCAGAAAAAAAGATTTGTAACATTGAATAAATTCACATTTTGGATTCGAGTTGGAAAGAAACAATGTCATCTGATTCACCAAACTTGCCTGCTACCACAACACCAGATGGTCACTCTCCTCCTGCTGCTGTACAAGCTGGAACAACCGATGATTCACCTAAAGGGGTTGCTTCAAAGCTATCTGCCTCTGGGATCTCAACATGGGCCAAGAGTTTGAAAGTTCCTCAGCCTTTTTCTTCCTCAAGAACTGACTCTGATGTTGAGAGTACTGAAGAGAAGTCTGCATTTGCTAAATTTACAAGTGGGTTGGGGTTTCGTTTGTCTCCCAACTCTCCTCAACAGGATGAGACCGGTGAAGGGACTTCAGCTGCTGCAGCACAACCCGGTTTCATTGGGGCGATTACTAAAGGTTTGGTGGATACGTCAAAGAATGCTGTCAAGGCTGTACAGGTTAAGGCTCGACACGCTGTCTCTCAGAACAAAAGAAGATACCAGGTGCAACTATCTTATGCAATTATGTTTCTTCCATGCTAGCTTTCTTCCTTGTCTGGAATTAAGTGTTTCTTTTTGTTCGGCTTGTGGTTCAGGAAGGAGGGTTTGATTTGGATCTGACGTACATTACAGAGAATATAATTGCAATGGGGTTTCCTGCTGGTGATATGAGTTCTGGCTTTTTTGGTTATGTCGAGGTTAGTCAATTAGTAAGCTTGTATTCGTTGCCCCTGAATCTGTTCTATTTTAGTTTTCGTTTAATGTGAATCTGGCCAAATAATTGTTCTAAACATTCATGCAGGGTTTCTACCGCAACCAGATGGAAGAAGTTATCGACTTTCTTGAAACTCAGCACAAGGTAGCACAACTATTTTGTTAGAAAAGTTTGGTCGGCATTTTGATGTTCATATGTTAATGATAGCTAATGTGTCTCTAAGAATTTCTAAATGTCTTAGTCACGTCGGTTTCTTATAATTTCTTTCTTTTTGTAGGGAAAATACAAGGTTTACAATCTTTGTTCAGAGAGGTTGTATGATGTATCACTATTTGAAGGGAAGGTATGTTATACCCTATTCCTATGTTATACTCGTATGATTTCCTTGAGTAATAAAGCCTTTAATCAAAATTAAGGAAACTTGCTCCATAGATCACCCACTGCACTATTTCAAGTTACTTTTAACTCGGAGGTATTTATGAAACACAGATACAAAAAATGGTTGATTGTGATAAATTGCTCATTTCTCACCTGGACTGTTGGACGTATATGTAAATAAGCTCGCTGCAATGAAGTGGCTCACTTTTGTCTTCTAGATGTTTTCTGTTTCTAGGTTGATAGCTATCTTAAGGTTATGCAGGCACAATTGTAAACTAGTTGCGCTCCTTCTTTTGCTAGTTTAATGTCCCTAAACATCCTCTCTCCACTAATAATTTCGTGTCCAGGTAGCAAGTTTCCCATTTGATGATCATAATTGCCCACCAATCCATTTGATTACCTCATTTTGCCAAAGTGCATATTCATGGTTAAAAGAGGACATAGAGAATGTTGTGGCTGTTCACTGTAAGGCCGGAATGGCCAGGACAGGGCTTATGATATGTAGTCTTCTGCTGTATCTGAAGGTAAAGCATTTATCATAACATTGTACAAAACATAGTTAAAAACAGGGAACTAATCATGTTTCTTTTTCTTGTGTAGTTTTTTCCGACTGCTGAAGAGTGCATGGACTTCTACAATCAGAAACGATGTGTGGATGCAAAAGGGCTTGTGCTACCTAGCCAAATTGTAAGTCTAGTTTTGCAATCTTTATAATTAAATCGCTCATGAAAACGTTCTTTGCTCTTCTGCTTACTGTTGAGTCTACTCAATCATTATTTTGTAGAGATATGTGAAATACTTTGAACGAATTTTGACCTACTTCAACGGGGAAAATCAACCAGGCCGCAAGTAAGCTGCGTTATCATAGACCTCAATGTTGCATACAGTTATGTATTGACATCTTACAATTCCTTATATTTAGGTGTATGCTTAGGGGATTCCGGCTCCATAGGTGTCCCTATTGGATTAGGCCATCCATCACCATTTCAGACCACAACGGTGAGTTGGTCGATGACAACTTATAAAGCTAATATTATTCTGAGCTGATATGTTTGTAATCTATATGCAGGGGTTCTCTTTACAACGAAAAAACATCCTCGGACCAAGGATCTATCGGTAAGCCACTGTCTATTGCTATCAAGTTTTTTTAAAAGCCTTTGTATGGTTAGGTGAAACTTTCATGCTTTTGCAGCCTGAAGACTTTTGGTTCAGTGCCCCAAAGAAAGGGGTTATGGTCTTTGCCCTACCCGGAGAGCCAGGTCTAACAGAGTTATCTGGGGACTTTAAAATTCATTTTCACGCCAATCAAGGAGATTTTTACTGGTTGGGAAGCTATACCCTCGTTATCCAAATCCATTACCAATATTGCTTTGCTTTTAAACCTGTCTCACAGGTTAGCTTTTCTGCTTTTTTCGTTAATTTGTTCTCAGCTGGATGAACACGACAATGATGGAAAACAGAGTGATTCTGAAAACCAGTGAACTCGATGGATTTGATAAGGTAATAATATTACTCGGTGCTTGACTTTGTGTGTTAAGTTGAGGTTGGGCTCCTTCTCCATCAATTCTTCTGTTTGAAATGATATATAACTTTGTGTTTGACCTTTGTTCGAATACAGAGGAAGCTACCTTCACCTGGATTTATGGTAGAAGTTGTTCTTGCTGATATTGACACAACAGTCCCTGCAAACCCTAGCACTGAACCAGCATCCAAGGCACCGGACGAAACCTCAGCAGCTAATTCTTCTCCTGTAGAGGGTGTCACACCGGTTCCTGGACCTAATAAAGAAACGGAGAACCCTGATAAGGACGATGTGTTCTCTGATAACGAAACAGAGTCAACTAACCCGGCCAAAACCACATCATCGGCTTCTTCTCAAACCCCAGAAGCCAAACATAGTGCAGATGAAACCTCTGGTCTAGCTCGTGCAACAGAGAAAGTGTCTATATCTGGAAACAAAGGACCATCTCAGCCTGGTCAAGGAGTGGTTAGCAAGGCTGAAGCGACAGAGAAACCCACTGGTTCAGGGGTCAACGCGTCAAGCTCGGAGAGTAGTGAGTTCAAGGTTATTGCGGCTGATGCGTCTGTGTTCTCGTTTGGAGATGAAGACGACTTCGAAAGCGACTGAAGTGTGATGAACAAAAGGAAACGCAGGTATGTGTTGTACATAAAAACTGAAAATGTTAAATCAGTATGGAATCCATTCATTGTGTTGTGGCTACTTGCTGTTGATGTTGAATTCTATGGCCTTTTTGGCTTTTACATTTTTCCTCAATATTACTGCACAATTGCTGTCTTTAATTTTGTATTGTGACACTTTTATTTGAAATAATAAAACTATGCATGGTATATCCACACACACAAAAAAAACCTGGAGGATCGATCATTTGATGTGTTAACAGTAATCCTTAATATAGAGAGAAATTAAAGTTGTATATTTTCTTGGTTAATTGGTTTAGCCTTTTATAGTTAACAGAACAGTTATTTAATTGAACTAAAAACAGTCCAAGTCTTCCTGCTTTCTAAACCCATATTTATGGAAGAATTTAATCTGACATGTATCTTTCCATCTTTATGGGAGGATCACTTCATTATGAAGCGAATCAGCATGCTACGTTTACATGCTATCACATTATGTGGGTGTGTAACAAAATTTAATTAAAAAAAAATAAAGCAGAACTAGTTTTTTTTTTTGAAACTTTAACAATGTCTTGCTTGTTGAAAATAAAAAAAAAATATTTAAAATTCACAATTCATTTAGTTCAAGAATCATTAAATTACATTTATACCATTACATATTTCCTTAAGGAAAAGCTTTCTCAATGATATGATTATTACATAAAAAAATAAAATTCGTGTTGCAAATTTGTTGTTATGATATTATAGTTACCACTTAGCATATTATTAGTAAGTAGTAATAGAGTTTAGAGCAAAGAACCATCTATCTCTTGCAAACCACTCCCTTGCCACCTACGCCACTGGCACAACTCATCTCAGGGAGCTCCATTTTGCCCCAGCCACCGTTTCTTCCTCTGTTACCAGTGAACCTTGCGGCAGAGCAGTCAGGTGCAAAAAGTTCTGTGGTCTGGAATTCCCTGTCACCACCCATCACAGGCATGTGGACTCCAATCTTGACTCTGCTAACGTAGTTAGGCCTATAAGTCTGTCCTAAAACTCCGTCAACATTGTCGCTAAGGTCTTGGAACTTGAATCCTAAGTCGAGATGAGCTAGACAGTCATCTTCCTTTACATCGTACCCATGAATTCTTGAATCTTCCATTGTTATTGACACCACTCTTGCTGTGATCTTAAGCAACCCCTCTACTTCAACCTGAATAAAAAATTTATGTATATATGTACACCAAGTTATTCATTGGTTACTATCAAGAATTTAAATTAGATAATATAATTTCTTTTAAAAAAAATGTTGAGCTTCTTATTTTAAAAAATAATCAACCAAATATAACAAAAATTCACATAAATACACTTGAAAGTTGAAACCATTAAAATGTGTTTCTCTAGTTAATTAAGATGTACTCCCTCCGTTTCAAATTATATGTCATTCTAGAGTAAAATTTTCGTTTCAAAATAAGTGTCGTTTTATAATTTCAATGCAAAATTTATTAATTTTAAATGTTATTCTATTTTTTTCATTGGTTGAAAAGTGGTTAGCTGTATAGGTAATTGTGTTTTTATTTTGAAAATATGTAAAATTAATTGTTTTCTTAATTTGTGTGCAAAATTCTAGAATGACAATTAAATTGAAACGGAGGGAGTATATTTTTTTGTATTTTGTTCCTTTTAAGTTTAAGTGACTTGTGGCTGAAGTAATTCTTAGGGCGTACCTCGATATTGTTAGTGTCAGCGTTGACTCGTTTGACCGAGACCTGAGGGTAAACACTTGGGGAAGAAGTCCACGTGGCACCGTCTAGCTGAGGAAGCGAGATAACATTTCCGTCGAAAGAGGCGGAGATACGGTCAACTGAATCGTCCCACGTGGCGGTTTTAAGAGCTCCGACGTAGAAACGGTGAGTGCCAAAGAGGATAGCAATGGATTGCACCCACGTGAAGTCACGTGCCATACCGGGTCTGCGTTTACCGATGAAATGTGCGTTGATGTGAAGGTTAGGATCGGAGATGAGGCAGAAGTTGGAGTCTTTCTTGCCGTGGAAGTAAAAGGTGAGACCGTCTCCTCCGATGAAACGTGGGTCTTGACAAACCGATCCTGGCTTGTCACAATCTGTATATATATGTCACAAGGTATCATGATTTTAGCATGTGTTTAAGTATGTAAGTAAATAACAAGAGGGGTAATAAGGAGGATGGAGAGGACATACTGCAAAGAGGCTTGCAAGTGACGCAATCTATTTCACAGGAACGGGGACAAGCGGCGGGGCAACTGTATTCAACTCCGTAACAAGGAGAGCCCTTCTTCTTACACCTCGCCCTTCTGACTCCTGCTCCTGCCTCCCCGTCTGATGGTGGGGTTGGTGTGGGAGATGATGGGGGAACGTAAGGAGGAGAGTTTGGAGTACTTGGAACAGGGACGGAAGGAGTTGGAGTTGCTGGAGTAGATCCAGGAGGAGTTGGGACGGAGGGAGTTGGGGTTGCTGGAGTAGATCCAGGAGGAGTTGGGGACAACGGAGGTGTGGGAGTGGGACTTGGAACGGAGGGAGTAGGGGTCGCGGGTGGGGAATATGGAGGGAGTGGTGCGGTGGGAGTACCGGGGCTTGGAACGGATGGGGTAGGAGGAGTGGGGGTGACGTTGGGGGGACTTGGTACAGCCGGTGTTGGGGGAGTGGGAGTAACACTGGGAGGGGTTGGCACAGCTGGTGGTGGTGAAGATGGTGGAGTAGGACTTGGCACAGAAGGTGTAGGACTTGGCACAGCTGGTGTGGGAGTCGGAGGTGGTGGTGAAGAAGGTGGAGTTGGGCTTGGCACAGCTGGTGTGGGAGTGGGAGTGGGAGGTGGTGGTGAAGAAGGTGGGGTAGGACTTGGCACAGCTGGTGTAGGAGTAGGAGGTGGAGGTGAAACTGGAGGAGTAGGACTTGGCACAGAAGGTGTAGGAGTAGGAGGTGGTGGAGAAACTGGCGGAACAGGAGCCGGAGGAGGTGGGGAAACTGGCGGAACAGGTGCGGGAGGAGGTGGTGAAACAGGTGCCGGAGGCATAGGAGTGGGAGTAGGATAAGGAGTAGGCGTGACTGGAGGTGGTGGTGAAACAGGTGGAACCGGAGCAGGAGGAGTGTCTCCGCCATCATCCCCAGGGGAAGCAGGACCACATATGGGCTTGCAAGAAGCACATTCGACATGACAAGTGTCAGGGCAGAACTTGGGACAAACATGTTCTAAGTTGTAACAATGTTTGTACTTCTTGATCTTACAAGTTGCATGGCTTGGCTTAGTCAAGCCAGGAGGTTGAGCCATAGTTAGTACGAGTGATGCAAGGAGTATGCATCCCAACATTTGGAGTGTTGTGTGTTTGGCTAGATCCATTGCCAAACCTAACAGAAGATTAGAAAAAGGTGTTTCTTGTTTCACTCGTTGTGTGAGTTAGGATTTATTGGTTTGATGGTATAAGATTATGAATGATGGTGTGGTTCAACTCTATGGTTTCGTTTATATATAGATAGAAATGTTGGGGTTTTTAAATACCAAGTTGAGGCCTATTTAATATTTTCAGTAAGGGTTCCTATAATTATGGAATATATATGCTTACCTTTTTAGGATAACTACGCAATTTAACGAATGTTAACACCTTTATACAGATCACAAACAAGATTATATTCTATACATACGTGCTACATTTTTAATTAATCGCAAAAAGGTTTAAAAATGTTAATTTGTATGTTAAAACTGCCACTATATAATTGAGATTAAATTGAAGATTTGTAATAAATCCAGCCAATGAAGGTGGATTTCAGAAAAGAAAAAAGGAGAAAAATTGGCACAACTGTTTGTTGAACATGGTCATAACTTATATTGGTAAGTAGAGGGAGCAGTCATCGATGATGATCTAGTTAAATTTGGGAAAACTTAGAAACTATATATGATCACATTACTAATGACATTTTTATTAACCACTCTAATTAAGTATCATCAATATGTATCTGTTAGAAATTATATATTGTTTAAAATAAAGTAGCCAAAATATATAAAACAGTATATATGACTTTAATACAAAAATTTCAAAGAAGCCTGTCAATGTTTGGAATACAGCCTTAATATACTCGAATATTGTTTAGATGAAATATCAGTTGAGTTCTGCGAAGAATTAAAACATTCATAGATGACCTTACGGGGTATGTACAATGGCAGCGTCAACCGTCAAGTCCCACATATTTAACTAGGTAATCAATACAATAAGTATATGGATATAATAGCAAATGGTTAGAAAGAGTATTGATTCCACTTTATGCAACTCTAAGTAATACTACATTAATGAATATTGTAATGCGTTACATATTAATTATACATATCGGTACATGCAAGTTTGTGGGGAATCACTTACCTATGAAGTGATCCGCATGCTACTTTTGTGTGGTGCTGATATTCAGATAATATATAGAAAATTAAAAGATGAATTTAGTAATTAAGTGAACCAGTTCTTTGCTAATCGAAAAATTTATAACAAATTATACATTATTGGTTTATCCCTGCAGATAAATTTGTTAAGATGAAACGTTTTTAGAGTATATATTCGTAAAGAGAATGACATTAGAGAGGAGAACCTTTGACTTTGGGGGAGGGGCGGGGGGTCACATGATGAAAACAACAATGATAAGTAAAGCCATGACAACACCTTTACAGCTATGTTTTCATTTTGTTTTTTTTTTGTCTTCTCTTAAGTTTGAAGAAAAACTAGAAATAATGTTTTCTCTGTTAGCGTTAACATATCGTCGAAAAATTCTATCAATAATTCGTTTCCAACTAATGAAGCTTTATATGTACTTGCATGCATGCATGCTTTCGACTTTTTGTTTCAATGAGGCACCGACTACATAATTTGATTCTAGTATATAAATTTATGTACCCTGCACTATACAACGCTGTGTTCTTAACCAAATAAATATTATTGATTGTTATTGAAAAAAATATACCACCTCGAAAATATGAATGAAATATGAATAATATATAAGAAATTTGGATTAATACATTAATTACCAATTAGTTTTAAAGTGAAAGTCCATGAAACTTATTATAATATCAGAATCAGCCTATACCCCGACAAGTTACTTTAGTACGGACTATGACCCGATCATCCCACATATTGATGATCCAAAAGAAAATTCATTTTCTTCAAGATAGTTAAAAAAAAAGAGCATATTTCGGAAGGGTATAATGGATTCTTCGAGATTAATGGTTGTACGTACCATTATCTCGAGAAAGTATATTGGAGAGAAAATGTCATATCATAAATATGAATAGTACATGAGTAATATATAAAATACTTGGATCAATCCATTAATTGCTAAATAGTTTTAAATTATGAGTTTATCTACCTTAACATTGTATCAGAGCGGATTCACACTCTGACTCATTAATCCAATTCTGATAGTGGCCTAACCATCTCATTAGCTGATAGCCAAGGCTCAATTCCACAAAGATTGGTAGAAAACAGTGACTCATAAAAGATATGATGAATTCTGCCAAACTAATAGTTATAGGCACAATTATCTCGAAAGAAAATATTGAAATTAATCCACATCAAAAATATAAATAAAATATATATAATATAAGGGATATCTCATCATAATAAAATATTAATCTCGCGAATCTAACATATCGTAGTGGATATAGCACTCGAAACATCTGATACACATCTTAATAAATATAAAATTCATCAACTTTTCGAAAAACATGACCACTTGTTGATGATATATTAGCTCAAAGAAACCCAAAGAACATGACCATGATAAATTAAGAAAAACAACAAAAAATAAGATTGCATGTAGCTTAAATACCAAGTCACCTCTATTTTTCCTTTTGCCACACTTCTAGGAATTTGAACCAAACTTGGAACATAATCAAGAATTTTTGGTCCGGATGTATTTTCTCCATAATCCATTAGTCTGACTATATTATCTTCCCCAGAAACGTATACTATCTTTTTCATGGAGTTATTGAGGTCGAATACTGATGCAGCGCACCATCATCAACCATGGGCCTCGTATAACGTAAAGAGCTCCATCGATGATGACTAGAGCTTCGGTGATGATGATTTGAGCTCCGGCGATGACGACTCCAACTCCGGCGATGATGATTCGAGTTTTGACAGTGTTTTGATTTGAATTTCTCTTTTTATTTAATTTTATGTTGGCAACTTTTCTTGGGTCTTCGATTTTATTTAATTTTGGATTCATCAAACTAAAACATTGGTTGACTTATGAGTTATAAGATAATGAAATATATATTTTGCAATTATCTTTACTGTATGTTAATATGTTTTGGGTGTGACAAACTATTGTTTTGAATAAAAAATAAGCAAATCAATGACTGAGGAATTGTATTCATATGAATCAACAACTTGCACTAGAGTGGTACGAAGCGTTTTGGAGTGGTCTGAAGCATTCTACTGTGTGTATTATCACCTTTTTTGCGGGCTGACTCGCGGAGGTTTGTATATATAGCGGGACGGATTTGGATAGCCATTTCGGAAAACGCAGCCCGCGCAGACTTGATCCGCTGTAACCCGTTTGAAGAAAATTCCACTGCGGTCCACGACAGAATGGGACGGGACAACATATTTACCATTTCTATGTGAAATAANTTCTACTGTGTGTATTATCACCTTTTTTGCGGGCTGACTCGCGGAGGTTTGTATATATAGCGGGACGGATTTGGATAGCCATTTCGGAAAACGCAGCCCGCGCAGACTTGATCCGCTGTAACCCGTTTGAAGAAAATTCCACTGCGGTCCACGACAGAATGGGACGGGACAACATATTTACCATTTCTATGTGAAATAAACTTTTAAGGTTTAGTTTTTCGAATACAAAAGATGATTTTATGAATTATTATTTTATGGAGTTGACTTCGATTAGTTTGTGAACATTTTACATATGTTAGCTTTTAAGTTCAATCTTATTATTTAGAAATTGTTATGTTAAGATTTTAATATACTGTTATGATTTTATTATGTAAATATAAATATTCATGTAAACATCTTTTTAAGGGATGATCCAAAAATCACATATATAGAAATCATAATTTCTATTTTAATAGTATTGATTCTAAATTATTTCTAATATAAGATAAAATATGATTTGGAAAGTCAAACATATATATCTAATTCTTTTCATTCAAGCAAAACATTCCAATTTGAGTTAAGACAATTATGGAATAAATACTACAGTCAAACTTTATAGATTTGGTATGATGACTAAGCAAAATATTTTCAATATATAAATATAAATAAGCACTAATGATACACCAAGGAAAAACATCAAACAACAAATAATTTATTGTCTCCTTTTCTTTGCAAAAACAAAACTGTACTAAATCATAATTTAAAAAATCTAACTATCAAAGAGAGATGGTGGGTATCATGAAGATAATGATGATTATGGCTCTGTTACTGATAGGTGTGAATGCAAGGTCTTTTGACGAGTGTGAAAAAACAGTGTGCAAATCTGTTTGTCACCCCGACCACAACAGTATTGCATGTGGTGATTGTCTCCTTATATGCGCCTCCCCTTCTCTAAGTATTCAGACTCTCCTTTTATCTATTACTAATTTACTTTCATATCAACCTCGAGTCTGATGTAGACTGTAAAANTGATAGGTGTGAATGCAAGGTCTTTTGACGAGTGTGAAAAAACAGTGTGCAAATCTGTTTGTCACCCCGACCACAACAGTATTGCATGTGGTGATTGTCTCCTTATATGCGCCTCCCCTTCTCTAAGTATTCAGACTCTCCTTTTATCTATTACTAATTTACTTTCATATCAACCTCGAGTCTGATGTAGACTGTAAAAGATATCCGATCCAGTTTTCTATTTACTTTAATATCTACCCTCCAAGTATTCAGACTCTCCAGATTCATTTTGATAACCTTTTAAAAACATCATATAAGATTTATAAATATTATATATATATATATATATATGTGTGTGTGTATATTTAAAAATATCACAAATTATATACTTTATGTACTCTAAAATGTTGGTGAAAATAAAAGTAAAATATTATTTGTTATAGTAATTAAAAAAAAAAGAATATTAGTCGTTTCAGTATTTTACGTATTGTAATTGCTATTTGAGATCTCTAATATTCTGTATTTTTATTGTATGAATTAGACTGAAAACTTTAGAAACGATGGTTATAATTTTCAGGTGCGAGCAAAATTGATCAACGGGATTTGTGTCTTAGGAACTGTGATGTTAGTTGTCAACCGGACAAGGGCTGCTACCAACGTTGTATTAAACACTGTCCAAAACCAGCTTTGATTTGAGCTCATATAGTTATGCAACAGTTGTGAGATTTTTCTTTTCAATGATGTAGTCATTTATATCTTGAGTCTCTGATTTTGGGATGTAACCGACTTGAAAAGATTATGTTTTACAGAGAGAAATATTTTTAAAACATTAAATAAAATTGGATTGTGTTTCACAAAATACAAAAACCCTTGCTACTACTGTTGCGCCCTACACATCCTATCAGATTGGGTTTGAATTTCAAATGACACCTCATAGGCTTTCAAAGACTGATCAGTAGCCTCTTTCCTCTATTCTCCTGACTTGAATTCTGCAAGATAACATTAGTAAAAATATAATATTTTTGTAAAGCTTAGTTATATCATGCAATGACATAATATAAAAATTAAAGAGATTTAAGACTTTAGCTGGTCTCATGTCTTTAGATATATAGATTTTGTAGAATTTAGTCTACTAACTAGAACGTATATGAAGTTTATAAAAATTACTAGTTGTAAAATTAGAAATGATGCCAATGTATCATAAAAAGATGTTTAATATATGTTAATATAAATTTAGAGTGTGATTAGGTATTTTAAAAACAACATTAACGTAGCTAAACTTTAGTATAGATATCATTTATTGGAAAAAAATAATCTTATCGTAAGATAAACTAGGTTAAGACCCGTACCTTGCACGGGGTGATATTAAAATTATATTAACAAATAATAATATTTTTTCATAATTATTGTTTGTAAATTGAGGTGTTCAGTCCGGTAAAACTTCACTAACTAAAATCTAATCAAAATTAAGAAAGTAGTTTGGATTTGATATCATCAAATATACCAAATGAATGTTTTTAAATTAAAAAACGGCAGTATATGGATATATGTAAGTAAAAATTAATTTAAGAACTGTAAAATTGACATAAATACACATGCATTATAAATTGTTAAAAGTGTTTTATTTTTATTTATATGTGTAACTAACAGAAAAACGTAATGGAATTTGCACAGTGTATCATATAATACGCTATCACACCACTTAAACATCGATTTTGAAATAAATAATTGAAGTCCATGTAGATAATCAAAAGTTTGGCACAATATATTTTTCGTTGATATTGAAAGGTCCATTGAACAGATTCAACTTAAAGTTTGTCCGTTATAAAATATTAAAACTATTAAGACATCTTCATTAACTTTAGGAGCCAAATAAGTAAAATTAGAAGTTTATGACAAATCTATATTAAATTTTCAAATATTGGTATCATTAGTGCATATTTGGACTTGTCATCAGTTAAAATATTTACATTCCTTAAAGTTGTATCTACCTAAGGAAACGCAACTAAACCGAATGAAGAATTTTCTTGGTTAAACAAAAGAAATTCTTTGTAACTAAAAAAAAAGAAGACAATTTCACATACTTTATTTGAGTTTAACCACAGCAAATACATTGGTTCATATACACCAGCCATCAGATGCGTGGCCCTTGATATGAACAATTTCAGTTCTTTATGAATCCATACACATCATTATAAAATCTACAAATAATTATTCTACAACAATATACATAGAAGTGTATTGTGGAAAAATGGAATGAAGTAATCATTAAACATTTTTTTGAACTTTCAATAAGCAGTTAGTTAACCCAGAACATAGTATTTACATAGTTCTACTGTATTTATGAACTATACAGATTTGTATAAATTAATACACATCATTATAAAATCTGCGTATAAGTTTTCTGCAACACTATATATAAGTAAAAGGATTTGAAAAATGGAACGAAACAATATTTCAAGCATGTTTTCTGCATGGTCATACATAAAGCTTGATAGTGAATTTAAATAAATATATTGCTTGGTTATGATTCTATATATATAGTAGTAGATTTAGTTCATTGTTAAGGCAAAAAAGAAATAATGTAGGCAAGAATATTAAATCAAATCAGTTATAAACATACAGTTTGAAATATATATTTCCTTTAGTTTCGAGTGGAGCTAAACCTTTTTTGTAGCATAACATGTAAATAATCTAGTATTATTTAATGAATATTTATAGATAATCGCTACATGATATATTAAAAAACGCAAGTATTGTTTTCAGAAACTAAATAATCTTAACTTTGATCTTTCGCATGGACTTGAAAAACTTCAAATCGTAAAGTTTTATCAAAACCTGTTATTGTAAATACTAAGATTGCAAAGTGAATATTTTTGGTCACATACTAAACTTGTTTATATAGTAGAATCCTGTAAAAAAAATATATTCTTAACCTTGATCTTCCACATGGACTTGAAAAACTTCAAATTGTAAAATCATATCAAAACTCGTTTTGTAAATACTAAATTTTCAAAATGAATATTTAGAGAAGAGTGTAACTTGGAATGCATTCTTGGTCACGGTATGGACTTGTTTATATATTAGAACCCTGCACTTTTAGCTATGCATTCTATAATACACGATAGTTATTACATGTAGCTTTACAATTAAATGTCTAATACTATTTTATTCTATTTCAAATAGGAAGATCTTGAATCACTCACGTGAGTTTGTCTAAACTCATTTGTCAGATTAAGAAACAAAGTAATTGTCTTATTAAATGTAGTCAATTTTCCAATTGTAGACATTTCCGTGACTTGCACATTCCTATCAATCATATATAATTTCGGGATCAGCAGAAAGTGAGAATATAGAAAGAGTAACAAAATTTATAATTACGTGATCACTTACCTATGTGAGTATTTAGAAAGAGTAATTATGAATATTTAGAATATTTTAAATTTCAGTCTATGTACTAAATAAAACATAATTTCCAATACGAATATCCTTGTGCATAAATCATGATTACTAAATATTTTAAATCAGAGTCTGCAATTGAAAGGCTAGAATTATCTTGACTATAGTTTACATATAGGTATCAATACATTTGAAATTCTTTTAACTAAAAACTTGGTTAGTGAATGATCTCATAATAATATACATTATTTTATATACATTAACATGCAATGTATTTTATATATATATATATATATATATATATATATATATATATATATATATATATATATATATATATATATATATATATATAGAATGCTTAGGTTGTTTGCTCTACAAACCAACTAATAAAGATAAGAAAATAGTATAATGATGAAAATGTCTAATAATATTTTCTTATATTTTAAATATGAAAAGATCTTGAATCACTCACATGATTTTGACTAAGTTCATTGGTCAGATTAAGAAACAAAATAATTATAATATAACAATTTATGCAGAATATATCATATTTTTAATGTTATACAAATGTTCAATATCACATATAAATGATAATATACGAATTTAAGCAGAATGTATCACGGTATATTCTATGAAACCACATATGTTATAGAGATTTATTTTTTCCTGTAGTTCCCATCGAATATTTGCATTTACGTTTCGCATTTACTTATAACATGACACATCATATTATCAGACTCTAGAAAAAAACGTTGTATAACTGACACCATGTATAAGCTTGTTTAATTATATGAATTTAGAATGCATATTCCATAGTTGTAGTACCAATGGTACTCAGCGTAATTAGTCTAATCTTTTAAGGATGGTTCTAATAGAAGGCTGAGAATGCATGAGAATCCGACACGTCATCAAAATGGCAACACTGTAATTAGTTTACTCAATGAAGGTTATTCTTTCAAATTGCTTCTAGATTAATAATAAGGGGATAAAAAAATATGATATTTTGTTTTAATGCATAACTTTATCATGCACTGATATGTGAGGAAGATAAAGAGGTGTGAGATCTTATTTGTCCATTTTTCTTTAGAATATAGTGATTTTATAAGGATTACTCTATACTGAATTAGGTGGAATAAGAAGTTTTATTAAATTATTCATTAGATTAGTAGAAACGATGCCTATGCACCATTTTCATGTTTAACATTCATTAATATAAATGTGTAATGTGATTAGATATTTTTTTAATCAACAAGAATGAACTTAAATTTCAGTATATAACATTTATCGAAAAACTCGATCATTTTGTAGGGATTAACTCACAGATTTCAAAATAAATTAGAAAATATGGTATTTTTTTCATGCATAGATGCATCCAGCACATATATATGATGAATATCAAAGATTTCTGCCACATTTTTTGTCTCAATTTCTCTAAAATATATAAGATTTCATAGAGTTTGTTTCTTGATTTACGTGGTATATGAAGTTTTATCAGTTGGTATCAAATCCTTGTTTCGAAGTTAACTTCTGTACTCTATCAGTTGGTATCAGAGCCAGAACGCTTCGGGAAAGAACTTCTTGTTTTCAATGGCAAAGAAAACATGGGGCACCGGCTCTAATGATGGAAATGATGGCATGGTCGAATACACTCTCACAACATAGAGCGATTTTCTTTTCCTCGTTGAGCAAAAAACGTGTTATAGTAACAGTACCGTGCTTCCATAGGGAAAAAGAAAGCACTCGCTTCGGGCAACCATTTTTATTTAAAAAAGGGCATAATTCATTATTACCAAAGGCAAAATATAATTATAAGAACAAAGAACAGTGATAATTGGACTTTAAAACATGGAACTATAATGAAAATATGGTTTCTTATGTAACAAATATAGATAGTTATTAGTTATTACAAAATTAGAGTAATTAGATTTGTTAGTAGTTATTGTTTTGAATACATTTCTAATATTTTAAAAATGTAAAATTGGTTACATTTCTTTTATCATGGCATAAAAAACATTGAGTAATTTAATTACTTTATCTAAAATAAATTTAATGGTACAAACTTAATTAATAATTGTTTTTAAACACATATTTTTATATAATTTTTATTTTGTTTATTAATTTAAAATTTTATATATTTATCTTCTCTAATAATTTATATTATAGTTTTTCTTGAAGAAAATTTTATGATTGGCTTGTCGGGCACCAATAAGCATTCGCATGGCCCTGTATAGTAATCCAAATATCACGTTTGGGGTAATTCACTGTTAAGATCGTTCTCCACAACACCTCATTATTCCCATCAATCTTATTACTTACCCATATCTCTTTCCCCCATATCTCATAGCAAGCTTCTCTTCACTAACAACTGATAGAGTCACATCTCGAAAAAAACTAAAGGACAGTTGCAAGGTAGACTCATGCTTCCAAACCTCTCTGTTGTATAATCAAAACTGACTAAAATCAAGTCGAGTTGTTCATCTTTACTAGCCGAAGCAAACCAACAAGTTAACCTCGTATATTGCAAATTCATGTACAACGCAGCCCCCTAAGCTCAATATTTTGTAGCTACTTTCTTGGTAGGATCCGAGAGCATACATGTAACGTTTATTAATTGGTTGGATCCACTTGGTATTACCAGTACACGGGTTCCAAAGCATGATTCTAGTGGCTTTACAAAAGGTACATAACAATAAGCCAACGCAGTGAAAGATATTATCGTCATTTGTGATCTCTCAAGAAAGAGTGGCGGTGGCTTTTAATTCTTATCTATAGGATTTTGGTACCTCACCTTTCATGTAGCTGAACCAAACTCTATTTGAGTTATAATTCTTTGTTTCTGTAATTTAAAAAAAAAATTCCGGTCCGGTTTTCATGAATTAAAAAGCTCTTCATGCACTTGAACGTTACACTTGAGAAAACTCGCTCTAATCCGGTGTCCTAGTAAAAAAAGTGAACTGGCTAGGTTTTTTAATTTGAATAAAATTGTCACCTTACGTGCTATGGAAGCAAGTAGGAGGGCCGGGTTGACTCAATGACCGTACATCATGTCCAAGGCGACTTGACCTCTAGAAGTAGAGATAACAATCATGGATCTGTACCAGGCCTGACCCATAAAGAACTATTACGAGACGGTATCGGGATAAGGTTTTCTAAACCCATAAATTTACAGATCTCGCGGGACGAGTTTTTGGAGGACTGGGTCTTTTGTGTGATGGGCTTAAATAAATCATACGGGATTACAAAGACCGGTATTTTTTTCTTTTTCATTTTTTTGTTTTATCTGAAACTGAAACAAATGAGAAGAGAGTGCGAAAAAGACAATTCATGTGACTTCCTCCCGAGAAAACGTAAAGAGCTCCATCGATGATGACTAGAGCTTCGGTGATGATGATTTGAGCTCCGGCGATGACGACTCCAACTCCGGCGATGATGATTCGAGTTTTGGCAGTGTTTTGATTTGAATTTCTCTTTTTATTTAATTTTATGTTGGCAACTTTTCTTGGGTCTTCGATTTTATTTAATTTTGGATTCATCAAACTAAAACATTGGTTGACTTATGAGTTATAAGATAATGAAATATATATTTTGCAATTATCTTTACTGTATGTTAATATGCTTTGGGTGTGACAAACTATTGTTTTGAATAAAAAATAAGCAAATCAATGACTGAGGAATTGTATTCATATGAATCAACAACTTGCACTAGAGTGGTACGAAGCGTTTTGGAGTGGTCTGAAGCGTTCTACTGTGTGTATTATCACCTTTTTTGCGGGCTGACTCGCGGAGGTTTGTATATATAGCGGGACGGATTTGGATAGCCATTTCGGAAAACGCAGCCCGCGCAGACTTGATCCGCTGTAACCCGTTTGAAGAAAATTCCACTGCGGTCCACGACAGAATGGGACGGGACAACATATTTACCATTTCTATGTGAAATAA